AGTTTTGAACCCAATCAGTAGCTCTTGGCTAAGGCAAATGCAACCACTGGTGAAGAACCAAGGAGGTTGCAAGAAAAATATGCAGGAGGTAGAAAAACAATCACCCCATGAGATGGAAGTACAAAATTGGATTGTCTTAGGCAGATTACAAAATCTCATCTTAAGGAATTTTGTCAATTCTTCAAACGGCATAGACATTTGTTTAACATCTGAAGATCAGTCAGGATCTGACTTGAGAATAAGTGATCTCTGAACAATTGTATACCTCAAATCCTTTCAGAGTCTAAGCTTACAGCASAGTCTTAACACACTTTTAAGCACARTAATAGCATTKAATAAATTCTGYAGCTATAACCCTGTATATATAAYCCTGTATCATAGCAATACACTAACACTAAAGGTCATTTGATATCATTKCTCTAGAAACTGTCACTGTTATGTGCCAGGGCTTTCTGCACCTTACAGTGCCAATGAACTTTTCAATCCTACCACCACAAAAAAAAGTTCACTGTGTATTGCTCATAATAAGGTAGGAATTACCATCCTTCACAAGTTAATGACTCTGAAAGTTATGCACTCTAATATGGCTTCTGAAAGTGATCAGCTTCCTGAAATGCAACCTTTGGAAGTCTGGTGAAAACTGGTTTTGTCTTACAGCTCCAAAATGTGTGGCTGTTTACCATGTAAAACCATTACCTTTGTAAAACTGAACTCATACACCAACGCTGACAAAAAGGCAAACAAATYTCTGTTGAACCTTTTGCCTCTTCCAAAAGAAAGAAAAATCTCTAASAAACATGCTTCATATTTCTCTAGAAAGAAAGACAATGCTGATTTTAAGAACTAATCTATCAAAATCATTACATCATCTAAGARGTCTCATAATTCTTTACTCAACTATTTAACAGAAGTGTGAATAGAGAAAGATATTGCATCTTGGGAAAGCTGGTGATAAGGAGGGATTCAAAAGTCTGTCAAGATATTAAATCCCATTCAAGTTACACCTGCTACAGACAACTGCACCATATAYACAATGGCAATAATAGATGTTTAAATATTGCTCCTCAGTCAACTGAAGCCTGAGGATCCCTGAATTACTAGGCACATTTTCTACAGGAAATGAGGGACTCTTGGGAGATATACAAGATTTTGATGACAATCTGGCATCAAGAAACAATTGACAAGAAAATTTCAGACACCCCAAACCTGTAAAATAGGCAACCAGCATCTGTATCAAAACATGCCCATTGAAACTGCTTTTGGTTGCCAGAGGGCAAGATCAGCTCTATCCAAGTCAGTGCTCAAACACAGACATAATACTTTAATCCTTCTGCCAAATAGTGCTGAAATGGGCACAAGTTGTCTTCAACCGTGAGTGAAAAGAGCTTGGAATTGCTCTGCTTCTGATAAAATTCTTATCAACTTCAGTAGTGCCATTATTAAGCTTCCAACRATGACTATCCAAAGCACTGGGGATGTGAAACCTTCCTTCTTCGGGCACTCCCAGCTCCAAGGAAGCTCAGGGTCATTCACTTCCCCAGGGCTGCACCAGGAACAGGTTTGCAGGCAGGGATGTAGCAGGGTGGAGGCTTCAAAGGGCTATCCCAGTMCTGAGGAAGCTGAAGGGCCCGTGATCCTCTCAAGCACAGCTCACAGGTTCTTCAGGAGACAGTTCCATATTCATCACTTCTAACTTACAGAGCCTCTTAAGAGCAATGCTGTTCCAATCTCCTCAGCGGAGCAGAGGTTGGAGCTGGGGTTTGGGGTGGTTAGAGCTCTGAGGCATCCAGAGACTCCACAGTTTGTCCCTGTGAGACCATCAGTGCCTGYGAAGCTCACAGCCGGATCGTGCCCATCCCATCTCTCACCTCGCTCTTGCTAATCTCCTGTGTGGTAGCAGAAGCTCACAAAGGGTCTGTTCTGGCATGTCACACTGCAGAAATATTCAGCTTTCCTTCACAGCTGTCAGCTTAATAATTTAAAGGCTTGCTAACAGCCAGACTTTGAAAGTCCTCACTTTCAAAAATATGTTTCTATTAACCAAAAGTGAGAGTTAGGCATTTGCTTCATCAGCTACTGGGGATAGAGTCAAAGGACACTACTGGATGTAAAAATGTAYCATGTTATTTAACATATAGCTCAAGATCTTGTTCCTTTTTCCATAAATCACCCCACCCAGGATTTACATGACAGCCTGTGCCAGCAGCCAGCTTCCTGGGTGCCAACTGACATTACACACATCAGGGCAGAGGCTCCTGACCTTGCAAAGGCAAAACACACAAGCAACCGAGAGACAGGAAGAAGGAGAAGGAAAAAACTCTGTCCTACTCCTTTCCCTCCCCAAGCCACTGTGCACAGAGCTTCCATTTCCACTACAGACATTGCCTGTGTGCAAAGCCAGGTTTGCCAAGGTGCTGCTCAGAGCAACTTCAACCCTCACTGCATCAGATTCCTGCCAGGGAAGGACAGATGTGCAACAGGCCACAGGAACGAGAGCTATGAGGCAACATGTGAGGCTGGAGCAAGACAGGCACTAGGACCATTGCAAGAAATTTAAATCAAGCAGCTCTGGTAAGTATTTGAGCTCAGACACACGTGTTGTTTGGTCTAGGACAAGAGTGCTTTAAATACCTACATTTGATTGGGTTTGTGTAAGTAACACCATGCTCAGTTTCGTTTTACACTTTTACTCTGAAGTTATGTGCTCATCTTGCATGCACTTTCACCCAAATACACACATAATCACCTGTCTGCCTGCATCATTCCCACTGGGGGCTTATCTCRCAGTTGTAAGCATCACTAAGAATAGAGTACAGTATGTTTCCTTGAGTGCATGTGTGTGCTGGTTTTCTATCATCTGTTTGCCTGCCTCAAAGGCTGCTGATATAGCCTGTCTTTGATCCTGAAAATGCTCTACATTTTCATTTAGAATTATAACAATTACACGCTTATCTTGGACAGGAAAAGGGAAACTTCAAATGCAGGGTTGGCTAGAACTTGTCTGCCAGCCAGTTTTCTATCACTTGTTTTGTGGCTTTTACTGACTAGAAAATTGAAGAATACAAATCCTTTGCACATTGTATCCCAACAGAGGAACAGAGTGAAATTAAGAAAAAATTGTGGGAAGTAGACAATTTTGGGTGCAGCTTCACAATACAGTTACAGCTGACCCAACAGCTCACTGCTATCCAAATGGAAATTTTGTGTCTTCTCCACCACCTCCACTTCTTCTTTCTGGCTACACATTCCCAACACCTATCTTCTGTGGCTTCTGGAAGTCACCAGATCAGAAAATTAACCTAATCACACATTGGACCTGCTTTCAAGAAGTTCCATAGCAGGCACAAAGAGGAGGTGGCACTACACTACTGGGGAGTAGGAAAAGGGTCAGAAGGTGAGTGGATCTCCTTGTTCAGCAGCAGCCAGACATTATGCACACTGACTTGCTCATCAACTCACAGATCAAGCAGCTAAGCTACTTCTTATAGATTTCTAAAGGAATGTAACTTCACAATTATTAGCAATATTAACAACGTCACAGGATGAGCAATAATTATTTTGTATTTGCAGATCACCTTGCCCAAAAAGACCACCATGTTTCAATACCTTAACAAATAAAATTACAAATATCATCCTTCATTGTAACACTAAGGAGCTGATTCTAGGAGCCTGATTTGGTAACATTGCCTCAGTTTCTCCTTAGGGAAAGACAAAGCTTTTGCTTTTACATTTCACTATGACATATATAGAAAGATTAATGTGATCCTTACAGAAATTTTTATTAGCCTTAATCTTCAACTTCTAGTAACATAAATTAGGAACAGCAGGATTCTTATCTGGCACTTGGATGAACAACTCTGCATCAAATCCACMATGCAGGACCTGTGCCAGTGTACTCTGTCACCCTAAATTTCACTTCMGGCTACTTTGAAGCAGAATCTCAAGCCTGGAGCAGGCACTGGTGTGTACTGGAGTCAGATCACCAAAATAATGTTTACTTGCCAAACATGAATATCACTGCTGTGCTTGGTGACATTTTTCCTTACTTTGTAAATGCAAACAGTAACAGTGTCTGTACTAGCAGCAATGATTCCATSTCCCAAAGCAGGGAACATTTCTATCACTTTGCAGTGTTTGTCTAGCATCTGAGCAAAAAGTTTTTTAAAATTCAGGCAAAAGCTACCGGGAAAATATTTTTACCATCTCCTTCTAGTAACTTATATAACACATTATGAATGACATTTTTCTTCCTGAATCACAAGATGGTCCATCACCGAACTGAAATTATTAAAATACTTTTTCTCCTCTGTACCGTATAGGTACAGCCAGCACACGTAGCCAACATACATCACAAAAATTTAAAATTAACTGAGTCAGGCATTTTTGTTCAAGGCTCCTGTGCTGCTCACAACTCCAGTCACACAGCACTGTTAATTGCTGCTGGCACTGACAGTAGGGATCCCCTTCCATCTGCTGGGACCAGCTGATGCAAAATAAAAACAATCCCTTGGAGTGAGGCGCAGCTCTGCGGGGTCAGCGCCCGGCGCCGCTGCCAGCGCCGGCCGTGCTGTGCGGGAGCGCTGCCCTGCGCTCGCCTTGGCTCTCCGTGGGGTGCTGAGACACTTTATCGCTTATGGTTTCTTTGGGGTTTTTAATCTTTAAAAACGCCCCTCTCCTGCAGCGTTTGATGTCTTTAGTGACGCAGCAGGCTGTCCCCAGCCGCCTCCTGTTCCACGCAGGGAGCAGAGGTGCCCGCGGCAGAAGCCCCCCGAGCGGCGCTTCCCCTCCCTGGGCTGGCAGCGCCGGCTGCGGCCCCCGCGTCCTCCTCGCTGCCGAAAGCGGGGCCGGAGCCCGGGGGCGCGATGGAAGCAGGGCAGGTGCTCCGGTGCAAAGAAAGTCCGCGGGGACAGACCCTCGCCCTCGGCCCGCAAACATTCCCCTCCCGCCGTCAGCGAGGCTGCTGCTGACCCCGGCAAAAGCGGGAGGAAGACACCGCTTACCGGAGCTGCTCGCCGGTGAGCAGGACCTCGGCCATGTGCTCCAGCTCCGCCGCTTTCTGCTGCATGCTGCTCATGCCCTCCTCCATCGCCGCCGGCCTGCGGGCACAGCACCGCCGGGTGAGGGGGGACCGGGGACCCGCCGCCCCCCGGCCGCCCTGTCCCCGCCGGGCGCTTCCCGTCCGGCCCCGGCYGCCGCGGGGCTCTTCGCGGGGGTGGCGGCCAGTGACAGCCACCTCCTGCCGCTCCGGCTCACCTGAGTACGTCAGGTCACTTTTCCCCTCGGCAGCTCCGATCCCTCCCGCCGCTTCCCGTGTTATTGTGTCACTGGCAGGCGGAGAAACACATGGCTGCAGCCGCCGCCGCCGCAGCCGCGCTCGCCGAGGCAGCAGCGGCCCCCCCCGGCTGTCACACGGCAGGGTCGGCGCTGCCCCCGCGGGAAGGGCCCGGCTCCCCGCCGGGGGCTGCGAGCCAGGCGGCTGCTGCCGCTCCCCAGCCCGGCCCGGGAGGCAGAAGCRGCCGCGCACGGAGGAGCACAGCGCTCCCCGCCCGTGGGTCCCTTCCCGCGGGAGCAAAGTCCCGCGTCCGTCCTTCAGCGCGGGGCTGCACGGAGGAGCAGTGAGCTCGGGAGAAGCCGCTCCGRCTGCGCGGGCGGAGATGCGACTGCCGCCCGCTCAGGTAGTGCCGGCTGAGCCTTGGCGGKGAGCCTTAGAGATGCAGCGCGGGGCGGGTAGTAGAAGGGGARATAATGGTCTGGATTTTCACCCTCAAAAACTGCTGCTGCCCTCCTGCTGCCGTATTTCTGCTTATCTGCCACCCAGGGGTTATTTTCAGACCCTGGTCCTCTGCTCACGTCAACTCTTTGTCTCCAGGCGACAGAGGATGCAGAATTCTTGAGGTCAGAGGAGCATTTTGTCTTGGCAACGGGAAATAAATTGCAAGGTCATGAACACTGTCAACATTTTAAATGGGAAAAAATCTACCTTTTTTGCAAAAAAAAGTCCAGGAGAAGGCATCTTCTGCAGTGCTTCAGCTATGGTTTTCATTTGCAAACACATGCAATACATTGATTGACTACTCATTCCCTTTATTTCTGCCTGCACATACTCTCCATGCATGGAAACTGTATCTTCTAAAGTACTTGCAATACTGTCATGAATTCAGGACCAAAATGATAGAATCACAAGAACTAAGAAGGGATCAAGTGAACCTAGTAGTAACCAGAGTGCAGACAATGGGAAGAAGGTGATTCTTTGCATGGCCTGTAGTAGACTTGTAGCATTTATTAAATCCAAAGGTGGCTCTGGATGAAAAAGAATGGACTTGGAACCAAGGAGAAAAATACTTGGAAAATAAATCTACATAGGGTTACTAAGCAGACAGCAGCCACATCCAGCTCAGGAAATTCTCTGTTCTAAAAATAATTGCCTCACAAGGCAAGCACTTGTGTGACATTTCATATGTGTTTTCCCTGCTACTCCCTAAGCATCTGTTTAAAGCCACTGAGATGAGCACAGGACTAGATGGAYCTTTGGTTCAATCCAGTAGAGTCCTTTGAATGAGCACCTTTGTGGGTCTCAAAGAGCACTAGAGGTCCCTGAATAGCAAAGGGATAAAAACACAATCTGCCTKTGTTTCATTTGGGCCAGAGACAGCAGACACCTTAGGACTGTAAGCACTACAGCTCAAGATTACYTTCTGTAAATTTGGAAGACATGCATTTAAACTGAATGCTTGCAAACASCCTCTAATTCCACTCATACTGCAAACATACAAAGTACAGATTCACAAAGCTGGAAACAAAAAGGGAATTGAAACAACATCTCATCTGACCTTATCTTTAGGACAAAGAATGTACACAGTAATTTTTAAAAAGCACTTTATCACATGACTGAAGGAAAGACAATTTCAAGAGAATGTACATTGCAGAGCATTCTTTGGTGAGTCCTTGGCTCTGTCACCTGGGTTTGCCTGATTTCATCTGTTCACTGCTGCTAAACATACCAGAAAGTGGGGAACTTTCTTCTGAGCTAGTGAGCAGATCTGTGCAGATGGTTGCAGGGTCCAATGAGTGCCAGAGCTGACACCCAGGTAGACTGGGACTTGGTTACACAAAACAGGAACAAAAGAGGGGGAAAGAGGGAGAAGAAGTTGTCTTTATGCAGTGCGGAGGTGTCATGACAGGATTCTTGTGGAACTGTARCCTGAAATCTGTATCTTTCCATGCACAGTTTTGTAAAATGCAGTATAATGGATTATTTAATTATTATAGAATTTTGTAGTGGCCTTTGCACACTGATATCCCATTTATGATTTGTTCCACATGTTCACACTGAAGTTTCTTACAGTTACAGTTGTCCTGAGATAAGGGAATTGGCTATCAGTCACTCCGAGCCTGATGTCACCCACAAAAGGTTGATTGACATAACCTTGAAGGGTCACGTTTCAGCCAAGAGCCAGTAAAAAGCTACACAGAATAACCTGATTAAATGTTTGCAGTTTGTTTTTAATGTACAGACTGCTGTGGAACATAAGGTCTAGCAAAAAATTAGGCTGTGTTGACTCTTCCTTCTGAGACAGACTGGTCATGAAAACTGAGAGGCTCCTCTAAGAAGTGGGACAGCATGTGCAGAGTCAGAAATCCTGACAGCAAGAGAGGCATCCCTCTGAGAAAACCTCCAGGAAGTAGACTGATTTCTTTTTTTTCAGATATAAGGTCAATTTTAAAAGCCAGTGCCTATTTTACATATGAATACATGAGTTTTACCGCAACATGGCTGAAGCTAAGTGAGATGGAGGTATCTTGCCAACAGTAAGACATTCCTCAGCCAAAAGCATAACAGATCTTTGAGCTGGAACTCTCAAAACACTTCAAAACTCATCCTCCACAACATCAAGAGAGTAACAAAAGCTGCATAGGTCTGCTGGAGGGTTGGTACTACAGGTGTGAGGGGAAGCTCAAGTGTCTTCCAGTRACTTTTGATAACACTAGAGGCTCTTTGGCATGCAGTAAGGTATAAAGCYGCACATTTGAGTCCCCAAGGTCACAACGCTCTGTGGAACATCAAGCATGAATAGGCACATTGTATTAGAGTACTGGGTTTAGAAAACATGTTAGTAGGTTGTATAAACTTTCTTATCTCATTTGGTAAATGCCCAAGTGGCAAAACACTAGATGTTTACATAATGAAATGAGAATATTGCTTTCACTGCTTTGAAGACTATTGTATCTGTGGCCTAAATTTTGACTTAATAAATTAATCTGGTATTTGATTAATTAATTCTTTAGTCTCACTAATAAATTTTCTGCAAGCTTACTTTAACACAAGACATCCTCATGAAAGTATTACAAGTATTGATGTCTATGCTTCTCATTTCTCTTATAGCCTTTTTCTTGAGTCCCATATAAAACTGTTTACCTTTTTCCTTGCTGGATGACTAGAGCTTTTTTAAACAGAAAAATTACATAGATGGAAAAGATGGTGAAGCACTTCAGGGACAAAAGGCATTAGCAGGTAAACTGTTGGATGGTTGTGGGGTTTTTTTCCTAACATCTTTTGTATAAGAGACAGCATTATGTAAACATTGAATTTTAAAACACTTGGTCATTCTCTTTGCTGAGAAAGACAAACACAAAATGGTTTTTGGCTTTTAAGTTGACCTTTTATTTAAGTAGCTCTTGCAACTCTCACGGAAAATTAGTGGGAAGGTTTTTTCCTATATTCCCATGCTTATTTGCAAAAGGAGCTCACTTGTCTTTGTGTTTCAACTGGTTTACTTCCTTAGCACTAGAGGCCTAGGAAGGGGAACCATAAGAACTACCAGGTATTGTCCAACCTCCCCTCCTCTTTTCAGGCTATGTACAATAGTGTTYCCCATACATGGAAGTGCACAGATTACATTCATTGCTGCTTTTAGTTTGAACCATTTAAGTTGTCTGCTAGGAACTGGTCATAAGAATCAGTGTGTGATTCAAGCGACAGAATGCATCTGGCCAAGCTAATTTTAGTCTTATGATAAACCACAGGAAAAGTTAGTAAGTTTTCAGAAAAAAAAAAGGAAAAAAAARRAAARGRAAAAAAAAAAGAAAAAGGATATGTTTTAAACTTCTCTTTTTCTATTATTGCATCCAAGCTCCTGCATAAGCCACCACAGTGAGATAACAGAAGGAACTTTTCTCAGTCTGTCCAACTTTACAGCACTAGTGTAAGACTCACATCTGTTTAGATTCTTATATTTCATGTGTTACTGACCTGGAACTTGTTATAATAGGAAGCTGAAGTACAAAGAAAAAGCCATTTTGATCCTGAGATATGCAGAGACAATCTGAAAGCAGATTTCTAAGCCTGTCCTTACACAGCTTTTCCATTTTGCATTAAACATTCAAGTACTCACTAGGACAGACAGAGTTAGCGAGATTCCTGTGCAGGCTGCCAGCAAAGGCATGACTAAGAGATGGGTACCTGCTTTAGTGCTTGCCCCTGTGAGCAGGTAAATATTTTATAGAAACAAGTAGCTTCAATAATCTAAAAGATCAGAAATTTGCATCAGACCAGTAACCCAAATAATTTCAGCTGACAGTATGCTCTGTTAAACCAGCACTTTGTACTACCCAATGAATGTTGCTGTTTATTTTATCCACTCAAGTTCCACTACTTTATTATACCTGGAATATTTTCTAATTTCTCTCAGTTTGTATTTTATGTATTCATTTGTTTTGCAATGATTTCGAATTTTGAGCATCACAAAAATATTTACAACTAAAAAAGCACCTGTAAATCTGTCTGAAAGCTCAGATTTATATTTGAATAAGTTCATATGTATTGTCTGTAGTTCTTTTTGTTTGTTTTATTTTATTCTGCATTTAACCAACAGCAATTATGAACTTGTTCAGCCAATGCTATATCTACATCATGTGTTTAGTTARTCCAGGTCATAGTCTTAGACTTGTGTAGTATCCAGCCTAATGCCTGGACTGGGAGGTGTGAGTCAGCTGGGAAGGGTGACTAAGAGCTGAACAGGAACTGCTTTCTAAACCGCTTCTCAAGTGTGAAGACAACACCTTCTAACTCAGTGGTAAAAACCAGCTCCTTAAACCATCCCCCAGCTATATCTGTGTTAATGCACTCTGATGTCTGGTTGCAAGATTTAAAATGTTTGTTTAAAGCACTGTGGCTTGAACTGACTGTTTGACACTGAATTGTGGTCAGCCCTAAACACTCAGGCATGGGTTGGTTTTCTTGTTCTTTGGCAGACAACACCTAAGAGCTTAGATTCAGTCTAAGACACTTTARTATCCTATTAGGCCTTTGCTATCTATTACACCTGCTTCTCAGTGCAAGGTTCTGTTGGCTATTTCTCTTTCCACCCTGCCCCTGATGGAGCAYGCTCTGCCTTAGGGGATCTGGCTCTTTGTTTCCTAGGGTGAGCATCACAGCCAGGGCTTGGGGTGGTGGGTGCAAGCCTGCASTGCACATGTCTCTGGGGA